TTGCAATATGGAAATGCCAGAATCTCCAAACCTGCAGCACAAAGGAAGAAATTTAAAAATCAAAACCCCTTTCTTCCCCTCTTTGATTAAGCAGCTTCATATTCTGATACATAGATATTAAAAAACTACTAAATAATTAGTTAGAAATTACTAAATAATTATTTAACTCATTACTCTCTTCGAAAACTAAGAAATTAGCTAACTGAAAGGTCTTTAGACTAAACAAGTGCAATTCTTGAATACTTGATGGTATGTGGAAAGTCATTTTACTATCTAAAAGTTGTCATCTTTAGAATTATAGAGTTTTTATTTTATTTTATTTTTTTATTAGAGAAATGTAGACTTTGCATGGGTCTGGCACTGTAACAATTGAGCTTGACGGGAACGAGAAAGAAGTCTCATAGTGCATCAACTGCGATGGCGTTGGTTCTTTGTGTTGGGGAAAATTGCAACGCCAACGCGCGATCTGGAAGCCTTTTAAGACGCACGAACACTACGGATGTATGGTAGAAAGAAAATCTGTGCCGTGTTATAATAACACTACCTTAAAAGCGTTATTTGTCCGGTAACGGTGCAGTTAGAACCCTGACACGCTTTCGACCGGCTACACAGACCTACTACGGATAGCTTGTACAAGCAATCGCGTAGGCGAACCTCACTATTGCTCAGACGACGGGAGGGAGAAGGAGAATCGAATAAATGACTCGAATTCAAGGTGTCTTTTGAAACGATGTTGGAAGCTGCTATTTATAGTAAGCAGCCCCTCCATCCCACCCACATGATGGGCACAGTGTTTTGTCCACATTTTAGCACTTTTGGCGCTACACCTTACAAAGGAGCACATTTTGCGCTACCATGTAATGAAATGGATTTTCCATTTCTTAATCAAATGACAAAGTCAAAAGGGGTGAGGTGGACACTTTCATCTTTCATTTTCCCAACAATCCCCCACAAATTAAAGAGGAAAGGAAAAGGGTAAGGTCTGAGCAATACAAATGAGTTGATCCTAGTGACACTGAGTAATCTACTTCCCGGGAGTGATGTTAATCTTGAGCTCACCGGTTAGATAAATTTTGAACTCGAATGCACACACCAACTCAAAAAGCAGGTTCTACAAAAGTCAAACTCTTTGACTTCTTATGAACACCCTTAGTATTAAAGAGTGTTACGTCTGTCTCAAATATGGACTTCTACCCTGTCAAAGTCTATCACAAAACAGACTTTTAAATGCTCCCAACTATCCCCCACCATTAAAGGGATTTAGGCTGATGCTATCATTGCCTGATAACGATCAAAACAAATTTTCATGCCAGTGTATAAAACTTGAACAGTCATATAGTGACATTAAGTACTTCTCTAGACGGGAGTGAATTTGATCTTGAACTCATCGAATAGACAAAGTTTGAACTCAACGCACTTAATTTGCTTTGGTCGCATTGAATCTCATGAGGTCATACTCACGACCCTGAGATATCCCCTGTTAGGTCTATTCTAGGATAGACCTTCAACTCTGTCAAGTCTACCTCATCGCAGACCACCATGATCGGCTACAGAGTATTTATGGGTCCCAAACCCATTTCCCTTGATGTGTCAAGGACGGCCTTTCTGTTTAGGCCCTTTGTGAAATGATTTGCAATTTTCCTTTCAGATCTCACAAAAACCATTGTGATTACCCCATTTATTATTAGCTGCCGTACAGACTCATGTCTGACTCTTATGTGTCTACGTTTCCCATTGTAGACATCGTTTTGCGCAACACAAATGACAGTTTGTGAATCACAATGTGGTGAAGGTGTTGGACACTCCCACAATTACACGGTTATCACCATGTTTCTTAGCCACTCAGCTTCTTGGGATAACCCCATTATCTTTCTTAAGAGGCGGTTAGCCCTTTTCTACTCAAGTTAGGGATCTCTTTAGGTCTATCTCAACATAGACCATGGTAGCCCTTTTCCACTCAAGTTAGGGATCTCTTTAGGTCTATCTCAACATAGACCATCCCAATTGAGTATAAGGCACCAAGAGCACTTTGTACTCATGTCATTATGCAGTGAATTCATTAGGTTTGTCTCAACAAAACCACCCTTTCTCAAAGAGTTATGAATTCATTAAGAGCTGTAGCTCAACCTCACATGCGGTGAATTCATTAGGTTTGTCTCAACAAAACCACCCTTTCTCAAAGAGTTATGAATTCATTAAGAGCTGTAGCTCAACCTCACAAGTACACACACTGTCGGAATGACCAACTAGTGTACTATTTTGTAACTCTTTTCATGGCTTCGTTTGACCACAGAAGTGGGATCTACCACGAATTCATTACCACTTGGACTTCAAGTCCTTCCAATGAGTCAACGACTAATCCTCATAATTAGCCCTCAAGTAAGTTGATTCTCTTGACCAAACTTACATGCACTTTGACGAGTACTTCGTTTACTCATAAATAATCCCTTGAGATTTTCATGTTTAACATGAAACATTCTCTTTCATCATTATTCTCAATACCACAGAGAAACTTTTGATGAAAATATAAGGAGTTTATTACCCCCACAATGCAACACTTACAAATAATTTTGTCAAACGTATTTGATCTCTTACCCAGACTGATATTTGGTGCCCAACTTTAGCTCCTTTGTAGACTGAGTTTTGCCGACTTACTTTGTAGACCATTATAGCAGCTTTGCACTCTGCCTGATACATGCTCAACAGTTGAATATATTTCAACAAACTTGGTTATCTCAATTGATCACAATTACCCTTTAACTAGGAATTATAGGTATTTCAATATGACTCAACCAAGAGTTTAAATAATATATATACAAATGCTCAGTGTTAGTAAGCCATAGAAATAATGTTGTCCACATGCTACATCAAGTTGAACAACATAATCACAAATTTCACATCATATTCTTATAAGAAATTAATCTCATACAAAAGGAATATGTTTAAGTTCATATTTATTCGGAATATCTCTCAACAATGAGACTTCAGAGTTGCCACTAGCACAATTTTTCCTTCCCTTAAGGAATTTAAAACTCATATAAAGCATTCATAGGATGCAAATCAATATTACTATTGCAGTACTTCAACAACTTCTATTGCAAGGCTTTGATTGTATTAGCAACATATAAAAGTCAACCTCATTTAAGGTAAAGATCAAGTGGCGCTCTAACTAGCCTGCATGATCAACACCCTACTTCTTAAAAACTCCCAGGTCGAGTGGTGAAACCGAAGTTTACTTAAAAATCATCTTCCTAGACAGAGTGTTCAAGAATGATGACTTTTCTATGTTCTCACTAAATTACAATTGAAGCCTATGATATATGCTCTTATTTTTATACAAATAATTTTGGTAAAAGATTTGAGCAATATCTATGCACGAATTATTTCAATCAATGTCATTCGTATTCAAAACACTAAAGAAATAAGTACTACTAAGTAATCAAAATCTAGACTGCTCAACTAGAATTCAGTACTAAGATAACCACACATCATGCGAACCCTTAGAACCAGAGCAAAAATAGTTACTCAAAATAACTATTTATTTAAAGAGACTCAATACTCATCTTGTTCTGTCAGATTGACTTTTGCTGGTTTTGCCCTTGTGATGGTAGCACTGGTGTGCTCGGTGTCCTTGCTTTCTGCACGCAAAACACCTTCCTTTAAACTTCTTGATTTTTCTACTCCTTTCGTTGTAGACGGTTCTGACACTTTGATTTTCATTTCCATTGGCACCGTACTTTTCTGACAGTGATTCCCAAATGACTTTTGCCGAATCTTGTTTGACATAGATGTCGAACAATTCGTCATTCATTTGTGACAGTAGGTATCCTCTGGCTACCGCATTGTCATTTCTGAATTGAGTCAGAGTTACACCCGGTTCTTGACCCGGAATGTAATCTATTTCAGGACTGCTTTCTCTCGATTCTTTACCCGGAGTGTAATCAGGTTCATGATTACATTTTGTAGCACCAAACGGAGAGAACATTGTTGGAGTAGGTTCAGGTGCAACTGAAAATAGCACGTAAACCAACTTTAATTGTTCAAAAAGAATAAGCATTCTTTGAGCCCATCTCTTGTAATTTCTCCCATCAAGCGCGGTGATCTTTGATAGATCCGGTATGACAGAAGGTGTCATAATGCTAAAGGTTGACTGTTGCAAATTAACGCTTTTAACTGTTGGGGAAAATTGCACCGCCAACGCGCGATCTGGAAGCCTTTTAAGACGCACGGACACTACGGATGTATGGTAGAAAGAAAATCTGTGCCGTGTTATAATAACACTACCTTAAAAGCGTTATTTGCCCGGTAACGGTGCAGTTAGAACCCTGGCACGCTTTCGACCGGCTACACAGACCTACTACGGATAGCTTGCACAAGCAATCGCGTAGGCGAACCTCACTATTGCTCAGACGACGGGAGGGAGAAGGAGAATCGAATAAATGACTCGAATTCAAGGTGTCTTTTGAAACGATGTTGGAAGATGCTATTTATAGTAAGCAGCCCCTCCATCCCACCCACATGATGGACACAGTGTTTTGTCCACATTTTAGCGCTTTTGGCGCTACACCTTACAAAGGAGCACATTTCGCGCTACCATGTAATGAAATGAATTTTCCATTTCTTAATCAAATGACAAAGTCAAAAGGGGTGAGGTGGACGCTTTCATCTTTCATTTTCCCAACACTTTGACAAGCATAACATGTTATTCAACCTCGATATCTTGATCGCAGGTATTGGACTATGTACTTCTTTTTATTAGAAAAAAGAAAGAAATAAGTACGAGTACGTATGATTTATTAAAATCTGTAAGTATAACAATGATGAAATAATATTTCTGAAGTGATCAATTAAACGGAGAAGATTACACAAGCTTATATACTGAGGTTCAGCACCACAATAGGTGGAACAGAAAAGTCTACGCTAATGACTCTAACAATATGCTAAAGACTATAACAGTATACTAACAAAATGCTATATCATAACTGCTCCAATACTCCCCCTCAAGCTGGCGGGGGGCAAGGAACGACGCCAAGCTTGTAACGAAGATCATTGAAACGAGCAGCGGAGAGCGGTTTTGTAAACACATCAGCTAACTGATCGTGAGTTGTGACAAAATTGACCTTGAGAGCTCCAGACACAACCTTGTCTCGTACGAAATGGTAGTCCACCTCGACATGCTTTGTCCTGGCGTGGAACACCGGATTAGAACACAAGTAGGTGGCCCCCAGGTTATCACACCACAGCACCGGGACGGTTGTTGGCAGTAACCCGAGCTCATGCAGAAGTGACTGAACCCATGTGACCTCGGCAGCGACGTCGGCGAGAGCTTTATACTCAGCCTCGGTTGAAGACCGTGCTACCGTCTGTTGTTTCTTGGAGACCCAAGAGAGCAAATTGGGGCCCAAAAAAACTGCGTAGCCACCTGTTGACCTCCTGTCGATGGTGCAACCAGCCCAGTCCGAGTCGGAGAAGCCGTGCAGCACCGGAGTAGTAGAGGGAGCAATGCGAAGCCCAAGATCTATCGTACCTTTAACGTATCTCAGGACTCGTTTGAGAGCCGCCCAGTGAGCATGCGTCGGGGCTTGCATGAATTGACACAATCTGTTTACGGCAAAAGCTAAGTCCGGACGTGTGATTAACAAGTACATCAACGACCCAACTAGCTGTCGATATGGTTTCGGATCGTCAAGTGCGTCTGACTCACCTGGGTCAAGTTGAGTGTTTGTAGCAATGGGTGTAGCGAGCGGCTTGCATGCGTTCATCCCTGCTTTTCGAAGAAGTTCAGTCATATACCTCTTCTGTGACAGCACTAAAGAGTCACCTACCTCAACGGCTTCAATCCCCAAGAAAAACCTCGGTTTTCCAAGATTGCGGGATCTTGAACGCCGCAGCGAGCTTTGAGAGAATGTCCTGAATCATGGTCGGGTCATTGCCCAAGAGCAAGATATCATCTACATATACAAATAAATAGGCACGGACATTTCCCGAGCCATAAATAAATAAAGATACGTCTGTCTTGGAGGGGCGAAACCCGATTTGGACCAAAAACTCATGGAGTCTCGTGAACCAGGCCCTTGGTGCCTGCTTGAGGCCGTACAACGATCGTTGTAGCTTACACACATGATTTGGACAGTTCGGGTTAACATAACCCGGAGGTTGCCGCATATAGATTTCTTCACTGACGTGCCCGTTCAAGAAAGCGTTGTGTACGTCTAGTTGACGCATCACCCACTTGTGAGAAACGGCATAAGACAACAGAAGCCGAATAGTCGTTGGTTTGACTACCGGGCTGTATGTTTCAACATAGTCTTGGCCTGGAATCTGATTGAACCCCTTGGCTACCAAGCGGGCTTTATAACGTTCAATAGCGCCGTCAGATTTTCTTTTGATGCGGAACACCCACTTACACCCTATTATGTTCATTCCCGGACGCTGTGGAACAAGATTCCAAGTTTGATTGCGCAATAATGCATTAAACTCTACGTTCATGGCATCACGCCAATGTGGTTCTTTGACTGCTTGGGAATGGCAAGTAGGTTCGACATCATCAACTGAAGCAATTAAAGCTGTTGGACGTCGACGCTGAGCATCAGTGGTTGTGCGTAGGCGCATCACATGTGTGCGAACTGTTGGGCGTTGGCGCCGCCGTCTAGTAGAAGTGGTGGAAGAGGTCGACGGCTGGTATGAGGATGACGCGGCAGCGGCTGTGGAGGATGATGTTGGCAACACGGGGACATGTTGCTGATTGCTGGGAGTCGCCCTCAGACCTCGGGTAAGAGCTTCATGCGGTTGCTGCCGAACTTGGGCACATGCCCATGGTGGTGCACTCGTCGATGTAACAGGTGGATTGTCGAATGCCTTTGAGAATGGGAACACTGACTCATTGAAACGAACATGGCGTGCAATGTAAACACGGCCAGAACTCCTGTCCAAACACCTGTAACCATAAACAGTTTCCGGGTATCCAAGAAACACACATGTTGTGGAGCGATAGTCCATCTTATGAGCGTTGTAAGGGCGTAAATAGGGAAAGCATTCACACCCAAACACGCGTAGCATGTTATAGTTAGGGTGTTGACGATAAACTTGATAATATGGACTTGTGTCATTAGAAACATGAGATGGCATACGGTTTATTAGGTGAACTGCCGACTCAAAAGCATAGTACCAGTATTTTTGAGGAACTTGACCATGGGCTAATAGCGCTAGACCTGTTTCGACCACATGCCGATTTCGGCGCTCCACACGACCATTTTGTTCGTGTGTGTGTGGACAAGATTTTCTGTGTAATATTCCTGCGGTGGCAAAAACCGAGCTTAACTTAAGATACTCACCCCCCATATCTGATTGAATAGTTTTTATAGGCCTGGAAAATTGTTTCTCGACTAGTGTACGAAACTTAGTGAATATGTGGTAAATATCGGATTTAAGTTTCATAGGATAAATCCATATAAACCTAGAGTAGTCATCGACGAACAACACAAAATATTTATGACCATCAGTTGATGGTACGGGAGCAGGTCCCCAAATATCGGAAAAAACTAAATCTAGAACAGAATGACTTGATGTTTCAATTCGTGACAACGGGAAGCGCGCAGACTTGCCCATCTGACACGCCGTACATAAATTATTTAAAAAATTAAACGATCCTTCAACCGGACAGGAAGACAAAACCTGTCGTAAGACACGGGAGTGCGGGTGACCGAGGCGTTCATGCCATATTTTTGGAGACGCTTTAGCTGACAAGTAGGCAACTGGTTTAGGTAGATTCAACGTGTATATCCCGCCCGTGCTAGGACCCCTAAGCAGAGTTTGTGGCCGTATGGCCTGGGATATCGCATATTTGACACCGAATGCCTCCTCGACCGCGCTGACCCCTCCCTCGTTGGCCCCTATGGTTCCGGCCTCGTCCACGATCGCCGTCGTGATTGTTCCTGGGATGGGACGTGGTTTGCTGGGCAACCATGGCTGTCGGAACTGCACCAATGGAAGCAGGCATGGCGTCTTCCGGGAAGAGGTAGCGGTGAGTGTTCAGGAGATCTGCAACTTCTGGAATTGTAAGAGGTTGGCTCTTGGTTGTTAGCGACGCCACTAAGGACCGAAATTCCGGCCGCAACCCCCGGAACACATGGAGGTTTTGTTCATCCAAGCCGATCGGACGACCAGCCTGAGCAAGTTGCTCGACAAGGATTTGCGCCCGTCCTAGATACTCAGACGTAGATGAATCACCTTGTTGAAGGCCCTGCAGCTGCGTTAACAGGCTCAACGTGCGGGAACGAGAGGTAGACCCCAGGGCAGTTTCCGTCGCGACCCATACTCCTCTGGAAGTGGTGTGGCCAATCGCAAGGTAAAGGACCTCCTCAGCAAGAGACGAAATCAACATACTCAAGATCGATTGATCTTGTTGCACCCAGTCGGCATGAAGCGGATTGACAGCCGGAGATGCTGCGGACGTCGAGTTGGCAAGAAATTCCGGCGGACAGGCATTCGTGCCATCTACAAAGCCATACAAATTCTGGCCTCTCAAAAAAGGAACAAGCTGCGCTCTCCAGAACAGATAGTTCGTGGCCGTCAGCTTGATAGAGACATAGTGATGTGCTTGCTGCAACATGGTGGACGCCCGACGGTCAGCAGGTGCGATAGCTTGAGGTGATCGATCGGAAGAATCAGCCGGGGAGGTGGTTGCCATAGGACCGAAGTTAGGCTGATACCAAATGATGAAATAATATTTTTGAAGTGATCAATTAAACGGAGAAGATTACACAAGCTTATATACTGAGGTTCAGCACCACAATAGGTGGAACAGAAAAGTCTACGCTAATGACTCTAACAATATGCTAAAGACTATAACAGTATACTAACAAAATGCTATATCATAACTGTTCCAATAATAACCCTTATGTGTTTTTCTACCTTGAATATGAGACCATTTATATGGAGTCTTGTGCTCAAGTCACTAGATTGGGTAGTCTTTGACAGGAATCAGGATTCCCCTTTGACTAAAATGAGCCTACTTCTACTTTTATGGCCTATTATCGCAATTATTGCTAATATGACTTGTGAATATGGTTTTGCATTGGACAGAGTTAAAGGAGGACCACTAAGGTTATCCTTATCGTGTAATACTCTCTCATTTTTTTAAAGCGGATCCTACCACTATATCATTAAATTTGTAATTTTTTTACTATTTTTTCTACATCCTTGCAATACTCTCACTTTAAAAAACGATTTCAATTTCAATAAAATAAATAAATATAAATATAAATATATAATAAGAAGAAAAACGGAAAAAGTAAAAAAAAAAAAAAGTATAAAAAAAAGCTGTCAAATGACAACTTTGCTGTCATTTTTAGAAAGCTTGCTAGACACTTAAGCAACAAAATTAAATAATAAAAAAATTATTTAACACAAAAGCATGCCACATCATTTTGCAAGTCGTAAAATTTTTGGGATGAAGATAACCTAAGGAGCAAGAGCAATACCTAGGTATAGATGAATCAAGTCAAATTAATTGGTTTTAACAACAGATCAGAGACTACATAAAGTTTACAAGATTTTGCGACCATGGTCTCCATTCTTCTTGTCTGTGTAATGATAAAAGAGAATACAATATTATCCAATTTCCCCATGTGGTTGTTTCTTACTCCATGCGAAACATAGAAGAGGGTTTTTGTTACAACAAAAACAAAGAAATATATGGAAGGCAGCAAAAGCTAAAAGAATTCATATGGCGTCAAAGCAGGGTTCGAACCTGTGCGGGCGAAAGCCAACAGATTTTAAGTTTGTCTCCTTAACCACTTGGACATATTAATAACGTTGTTCTTAACATTCATGAAAATTATAGAAGATTTCTTACAACAAAAACAAAGAAAAATATGGAAGGCAGCGAACGGATCCACATTGCGTCGACAGCAGGGTTCGAACCTGCGCGGGCGAAGCCCAACAGATTTCAAGTCTGTCTCCTTAACCACTCGGACATATCGACAACGTTGCTGTCACTTGTGTGAGTATGTTAAAGATCATTGTTTAACTCTTACAAAAGAGCCACTAAGTCATAGACAAGAAAACATAAGGAAAAATGGAAAATGACACTTTTCTCCCTGAATTATATGTTAATAGTATATTTTTCTATGAATTATTCATGTACTCACATTAGCCCCTTTAATTATTTTAAAAGTGACAGTTTTTTTCTTGATGTATTAAATAGATATTTCTACCCTTAAAATAAACATTTTATTTATTTTTCTTCTTCAACAAATTATTGCTTATACGTATTTTTCAAAACTCCATGGACATGCAGAAGAGAAATACGGATAACCATGGCTCGGTTCGAATTGAATCGGACACTGTAGCGATCGAGTCGAAAGTTTTCGGTTATGATTTAGAACTAGAACTCATAATTTGGGTTTCAGTTTATTAAAATCATGAACCGAAATAATTGGATCCTGAACCGTGATCCGTCGGTTCAAAACGGAACAACTACTAGCATTAACTTAAAATTAGAATTACAATATTTGCAAATAGTGTATGTTCATTTTCACATTTATTATAATTCTCACATATAAGTATATATGGCCGGGATTTGGTTTTGATTTTGAATCGCCGATTCATAGTTCCGGATCCAGGTTGAACTGTTGGTTCAAACTTTCTTTTAAATTTTTATTTTTATTTTTAAAATAGTTTAAATTCAACAATTAATGTATTTTATTTTTTCAGTTTGGAACGTTCCGGTTCGCAATTTTAATAAACTCTAAATATCGGGTTCCGGTTCTAAATTGTAATCGGAACC